AGGAAGGTGTCAACCGTGGATGACAAGGTCGCTCCTGTTGTGGATAATCCCGCAGAACGCAATGATGTCCCTGCGTCGGAGAAGAAACTGGTCGAGAAGTGGAACCCTGGGTGGAAGCAAACCTGTGGTTGGTTCTCGAGTATGACGACGAGCAACAGATGTACGGTATGAAGTGTAAGACCTGCAAAGCCCATGCCAAGAACAGTAAATCTCCGTTTGGCCCTCTTGGCATAGGAGCGCGTGATTTTCAGGTGGGGTGTTGCAGAGGTCATGAATTCTCGAGGCTGCACCTTGCTGCTGTGACAGCCGACCGAATTGCTGAGGGCACCGTGAGGCAACAGCGCAGTATATTAGAACTTATGAGCGCTGAGCCGCTGACCCGCAGACCCGCAGAGTGGTGAAGTGTCTTCAGGCAGCTTACTGGTGTTCTCGAAATGATGCACCAATCATGCTCTACACGCTTCTTGTTAGGTTCATGGCTGAGCAGGGCTGCCCAGACATGACTAATGAAGAGGCATACGGGCGATACTACTCAAGGTAATGCGCTGTTGTTTCCGCTTGTTACCATTATACAACCTAACAATACGCTTTTGCTCCTTTGCAGATACGCCTTCGGCGAGTTCGTTTCGGCGCTCGCAAGCTACCTCCAAGCACGCCAGCTGGCAGACGTCCAAGCATTGCCATGGTACGGGCTCTTACTTGATGAGAGCACAGACCGTGCGTACGGCAAGCACATGATCATGTATGTGCACTTCAAGCGCAACGAGCAGACGGAGGTGCAGTTTTTTGGCAACATACCAGTCGACAAAGCCGATGGCGCCTCGCTGCACGCTTCCATCATCGCGCATCTTGACATCAAAGGCTTGTCCTTGGACAAGCTTGCGGGTGTGTCGACGGACGGTGCCAAGGTTATGGTGGGAATGAAGAAGGGAGTTGTGGGCCGTTTAATGCAGCGCTGCCCGGGGCTCGTTGCTGTGCACTGCGTGGTGCACCGGTGAGCCAGAATCAGAATGCTTGTTTTGTATGTTCCTTGCTCTGCCTTCATCTCTGGTTGCTGTTTTTTAACTCATGTTTAACTGGTACCCATGTCACAGGGAGGCGTTGGCAGCAAAGGATGCTGCCAAGAAGTTCCCTGACTTCAATGTCATCGACTCACATATTCGCAAGACTGCTGAGCACATCGGCCGCTCCAGCATCTCCAGAGATGCCTTCATGCAGCTGCAGGATGTGGTCATGAAAACCCAACTGGAAGTCCAGGGCATTTTCAACGTGCGCTGGCTTTCACGCAGGGATGCAGTGGCGCGGTTTTGCGAAGTGCTGCCAATCCTCCTCTGGCTTTGGCACAAAGAGGACAAAGCCGCGTACAAGATCGGCACTAGTTTCAAGTTTCAGTTCATGCTCTTCTTCCTCGCCGACGTGCTGGAGATGCTCAACACCCTCAACATGGCGTTTCAGAGGCTTGTGGTAAGTGTGCATCATGGCCTATGCTTATACATTGTTCTAAGAGCTCTTTATTAACTATCCTTCCTTGGCTCATGAGCAGGTGGACATCGGCGAGGTGAAGCTCCTCGTCGATAAACTGAAGCTGAAGCCGGCGCAACGTTACGTGGAGAACCGCGCAGACTATGGGACCCCGAAGAGCAAGCACCTGCACGCTTTTCTCGAGAAGCACAGCAGCCCTGACAAGCGCGAGATCACCATCCGCGGCCTCGACAATCAAGGGAACGCGTGCACCGTCAGCGACAAGCTGCATGAAGACCCCATCGGCGCAGGCATGGGGACGGACCTGGAATCGTGCATCAAGCTGGGGCAGCAGTTTGCTCAGGAGTTGATCGCAAAGCTGGACTTCCGCCTTGGCGACCTGAAGCATTTCGACGGGGCAAAACTCTTCATGCCAATGCACTACCCGGCGCGGCTTGCTGACCGTGAAGGATGGCTCAACGTCCACCTCTACGAACTCCTTGACATGTTCAAGGAGAAGCTGCCCGGTATGTAAGAATGCAAATGATCCAGTACTTTTTGCTCCCAGCAGTGTTAATATCATAGGTGCTTCATTGTTTCGCTTATTCTTCTCCTACGCCCACCCCACGACCCGCAGGTGTCACGTACAAGGAGTGTCAGCTGGAGATGGAGCTCTTTGCTGCAACAATGTTCAAGAAGTTCAAGGACATGACTTTCCAGCAAGCCCTCACTAACGTGCTACGCACCTCAGACTGGAGGGATGATTACCCCACCCTCGTGCACCTGTGGCGTGCACTTGCTGCTGTTGAGTGCGAAAGGGGCTTCAGTAGGCAGAACATAATAAAATCATGGGACAGGACTGCTCTTAGTGATGTTAAGCTAGATCAGCTGATGACTGTGAATTTGCTAGACTATCCTGTGGAGTGGGTAGAAGTGCACAGGATCTTCACTGCTGCCAAGGCCAAGAAGCCTGCTAAGCGTGCATGCATAGAGAAATGACCCTAGCTAGGTTTTTTATGTAGTGTTAGCTTGTTGTAGTTTATAGCTGTAGTGTAGGAATTGTGGTTAAAATGAGGCAGCATAATTTGCCGCGCCAAACTTGATTCAAAGGGTGGAAAGTTTTCCAGCCCTGAAGCCTAAAGGGCCGAGATTCGCCCCCACCCTGCTAGATACAGGGTCGCACGTGGCAGCCCCCCTGATTTGCCCAGGGGGGCCAAAACGAATCGACATGCCTGTCCAGGAATGAAGGCCGGCCGGGCTGGGCTGCGTGGTGGTGGTGGTGCGTGGTGGTGGCTGTGGCCGGCCGCTTGACCAGACCGGCTGATAGCAAGCACGTGAGCTTGAAATGCCTCAGCAAGATTTCCTATCAAGGGAAGGTAGCAGGGTAGTTACTAGTAAAACTCAATGATTATTTTGCTTGCCTTGCCCTGCCTTTTTTTCCTTTACCCCTTTTCGCCTTCTCTGTTGTGTCAGGTGAGGCAGTTCATTGCTCACAGTCGAGACCTACTCGAGCTTCCACCTGATTCTTCACTTGACTTCACCGACTTTGTTGCGTCCTGCTTGAACCGCGACCCTTCAAAGAGGCCATCTCCGGAAGCCCTCACGAGCCATCCTTTCCTAGCCACGTCATAGATCATATGGTATCAGAATCAGACAACCCACAGCTCGCTCCGGCACGGCACCATCAGTCCAGCAGCAACCAGGACATAAGGATTTGGGTCCATTTCCTTCCAAGAGGCCATAAGCTAAAGCCCTCATGAGCCATCCATTCCTTGCAGTGTCATAGCTCCAACCAGAGTCGCACAATGCACAGCTCGCTACGGCACGGCATCACCATTCCTGCTTCAACCAGAATATCAGGATTCGGGATGTCGCTCATCAGAGGTGTATTTTGAGGCACCTCAAAATACACCTCAATGCACGCGAATATCAGGATTCGGAATGTCCCTCATCAAGCGCGTTAAGACTTCGCTCCTCCAGGAATGAAGGGGAGTGTTACGATATGAAATTGTTGAATAACATTCCTAAAGTAACGAATCCTTAACGCGAAGATGACTGCAGCGAGGACGAAGACCGAGCGACAAGACAGTTATCAAGACAGTTGCAAAGCAGGAAGAATTCAAAGTGCAACGCGTGGGAAAATGTTCAACGGTTACCGGACCGCGTACGGTTACCGAACCGCGTGGTTGCACTCCTGCATCTAGATTAGCCCTAAGGAGAATGTACCCCCTCAGAGTACATGGCTAGCTAAGACCTTTTCGTATTCCCTCTGTATTACTATATAAACCCCTTGTATCGCATTGTTATAGTTACTTCTGTCCAGATTCAAATATATTTCCTCTGACAGGGTCCGTACTTGACCTCACTAGCAAACTTCCGCTACTACACTTTCGTGCGATCAACCCGAGACGATTCTATCAACAAAGACTTACAGATTGTAACATGCTGAAGGTCCAGCATAAATCGGAGTCACTGTCTACAGCTAGCTACGGCACCGTAAGTCATGCTTGGTTCGATCAGAATATGGAATATAATGGTTCAGGTATAGGCAAGTCTTTTAAGCCATCCATTCATTGCTGCAGTCTCATAATCGTTATACCGCAGGTAGCATGGCTTGTTTTACAACATGTACAGCACAATGTACAGTTGTTTGTTACTAGGTACTTCCACGGATCATTTTATTCCATTTTATGCCTAGTTTTTTTGCTTGCTCTCTGAGCCACCGTGTTTCAATCACTATGTAGCAAGAACAATCACGCAACACAAGCCTTTCCCCCCATAAGCACAGAATGGATCCATCAGCCTGTGTTACATCTCTTGTTCTTGCACCCAGGTAACATCCTCCTCTACCTTTTCCTCCAATCATCCCTCCCTCCCGCATGAGCCAGGTAACAGTCTCGAACCTCATCCCTCCTTTCCCCCCCTCTACTTCAACCTCCTAACCTTGCCGCAAAAGAGGTCCCCAGCAACATCAATCAAGCCTTGAGACGTCTCAAAATTCCTTGAGGGGTTGCGTGCATGCACCCTCCCAGTCTGCTTTTAGTGCAGATCACATCCCCGCCTCTATTTCAATATCCTGACCTTGCCGTTCATTGCGGTTCAATGCGGTTCAATGCGGTTCAATGCTGTTCATTGCGATCCAATGCTTTTCGATATGGTTCAATGCGGTTCAATATGGTTGAGTGCTTTCAGTGCGGTTCAATTTGGTTCAGTGCGGTTCAATGCGCTTTGGTGTTGTTTGATGCAATTGGATGCGGTTTGATATTGTTTGACGCGGTTAGATGCGGTTCAGAGCGCTTTGATGTCGTACAATGCCGTGTGCTGTAGTAGAGGTTGTGTTGGTAGCCTTTGAGTACGTTCCGGCCGCCACTCCTGCTCTTTCCGCAGCTGTCAGCTGCCTTCGTGCACTGCAGAGTCACATGTATAAACCTTTACATGAGGGTCCTCAAAGTTACCCTCATGAGAGTGCAGATGTGCGGAAGCACTTTCAAAAGGAGAAACTCTTGCCTTTGACTCTGACACATGAGTTACGCTGAACAATGGTGACCAATGGTTTGCTGCCACATCACTCACGGCAACATCCGTCCCTCATGCCTCCCTTCCCACATCTACCTTCTCGACTGCTCCCCCACCAACCCTCGCCCCACCCTCGCCACCACCACCCTCTCCCCCACCCTCGCCCCCATCCTCGCCCTGCCCTTCCTCGTGTAATAGAGCCCACTCTCTCCCTGCACACCCACGGCATCACCCACAGCGGCATCCTTCCCTCGTGCCTCCCCTCTCCTCCATCTGCTATCTTGACTGTTCCTCCCACCCACCCTCTCTCCCACCGTCTCTCACGCACCCCTTTCCTGCACCCACTCTCCAACCCTCGCCCGTCACTCCTGCATGCCGATGGTGCTGCTGCATGCTGCTGCTGTCCCTGTCTCTCTGCCCCTGTCTCTCTGCCCCTGTCTCTCTGCCCCTGTCTCTCTGCCCCTGTCTCTCTGTCCCTGTCTCTCTGCCCCTGTCTCTCTGCCCCTGTCTCTCTGCCCCTGTCTCTCTGCCCCTGTCTCTCTGCCCCTGTCACTCTGTCCCTATTTCTCTGTCCACGTCTCTCTGTCCCTGCCTTCCGTGTCAGAATAAAGTAATCACCTCAATCCTCATCAAGCCTTCCAACGCAAGAACAGAGCTGTGATCGGGTGCCCGTTGACTTTTGAGTCGACTCAAAAGTCATCTCTCTGTCCCAGCCGCTCTGTTCAACCCTCATCTAGCCTTCCAACGCAGGGAGAGAGTTGTGATCTGGTGCCTAGTTTACTGCTTTGAGATTTCGCAAACGCTTACTTCTGTTACGCTTCCCTTCTTCTCTGTTGCGCTTTCCTTATCCTTCCACAGGAAGGGGAGGGGCCGCCATCTGATGTGTGGGCGTTGGGGTGCCTGGCCTTGGCCATTGCCACTGGAGCATAGGCCTAGGCTGGTTTCTGTGCATTGAGGTGATTTTTTAAGTTCCCCAAAATCACCTCTGACCATGGCCACTGGAGCAGAGCCATGGGCTGGTCTGGAAATCAGAGAACAGGTGAGCTGGAAGCAACGTAAAGGTTCCAAGTCATGCACAGGGAACTCGTGAGCTGGAAGTATTTTTGAGGCGCATCGCAACAGGCATTGGGATGCTTGGTAGTGACCATGGCCACTGGGGCAGAGCGGTGGGATGATATCAAAGACCGCGAGCAGGTGAGCTAGGGCTAGTGTAGAGATTTGATACGAAGGACAGGAAACTGTCAAGGGAGCTTGAACGGAAGATGTCTTTCTAGGCGCCTCAAAAGGCGAGCAGGTGAGCTTGGGCTAGTGTAAAGATTTTTTAGGCGCCTCAAAAGCCGGGCTAGTGTAAGGATTTGATAAAAAGGACAGGAAACTGGCAAGGGAGCTTGAACTGAAGATGTGATGTCAAAGATGGAGCAGGTGAGCTTGGGGTTTCGTAGCAGGATTCCATAGCAAGGGCAGAAAACAAGGGAGAGAGCTTGATATGAAGATGTGATATGGAGGGCAGGGAAGAGGGGAGCGCTCGAACTACCAGTAGTAGGATTATCATTTGGAGTGACTTGACTCGGATCAAAACACAGTCCTTGAATCGACTCAAAACACATTATCTTGTTGACTCAAAGCACACCAGAGAGGGGGTAAATTTAAAGATGTGACATGAATGGCTGGGAACAGGGTAGGGCCCGTAGTAGTAGCATTCAATCACCCTTCGGCTTGCCTGCTCTTCCATCTCCAGATTTCAAGTGCATTTTTATCATTTTTACCGTTATTCCCCTGTTTGCCCTTTGTATCCCTTTTTTTTTTCCAGTTGTGTCAGGTGAGGCTGTTCATCGCTCACAGTCGAGAGACCTACCTGAACTCCCACCTGATTCTTCACCTGACTTCACCGACTTCGTTGCGTCCTGCTTGAACCGCGACCCTTCAAAGAGGCCAACAGCTCAAGCCCTCATAAGCCATCCATTTTTTGCATCATCGTACCGTATCAGCTGGAGCTCTCGTCAACCATCCATTCTTGGCAGCATTGCAATCACAGAGCATGTCTCGTTGCACACAAGGCCCAAATATAGTGGTTGGTTGTACCAGCCTGCATCAGGCTTCAGAACTGGGGAAGGGAGGGACCCTTGGAATAAGCTTCATCTGGTGGAGCCCTGCTGCCCTCTTCACTAAAGCAATCCGTTCTTGGCAGCATTGTAGTCTCATAAAGCATGCATCGATGTGCCATCGCACACGGGCAGGCACCGTATCGACTGGTGACATCCTACCTGTTGCTAGACCAAGTGGCAAAATGCTATGCAAGTGTTTAATCAGGAGTTGTGCGTAATGTAGTGCAGTGCACTATGCTGCTTTGTTGAAGAGTCTGAGGTGAAGCGTGAAATGCAATGATAGGAGGAATGGTGCATCATAAAACATGTGTTTCTCCACACTCCATTAGTGTTGGTTTCCACTCAAAGAAAGATCCACTAAAGCAGAGACAAGGAAAGCCCTTGCACAATATAATCCCCAGACAACGAGTTCCCTACGTCAAGAGCCCACAGCACAAAATATTCAAACACCCACATACGGTAGGCTGGTGTGATCAGCTATCCCAATCTTTCTCCACCTTCCCTCCAGCATCCCTGTAATGAATTTCACAGGTTCATGAACCCAGCCCTCCAGCCTCTATTTCTTCTTCATCACATCCTTGATCTTGCCGCAGAAAACGTCGTTTCCAACTTTGATGACGCCGCGGTAAGACTTCGGGTTGTCTAGGACCTGCTTAACCCCATTGTCCGGACCACCGTTCGGGCCAACGTCAGCTGTCCCCTTGAAGTTGTAGCGTTTCAGCATTTTTTCTGTCGAGCCCGTCTGGTCTTTCCAAGCAAATCCTTTGAATTCGAATTGGCTCGCAGCTGCTGCCGGGCAAGCTGTTGCGAAGCCAATGGAAGAAGGCTTGGCTCCCTTAGACCGCACGTTGTAAACATTCGCAGCAATGACGTACCACACATTTCTTCCTTCACTGAAAAAAAAACATAGCAGCAGAGGCATGAAAGCGGTCAGAGATCAAGATTTCATTGCATTGAACTCTCCTAAATGCAGTAAATGTCTCGTCCAACAGTGGGTTATGGATGAATGGTGCACAGAAAGTCGAAAGTCTTACACGACAATTTTGAAGTCGATCTTTCCTCTGGCCATCTCGGGACGCGTCACACGCCCCTTGTATCTCGCAGGACTCACGATCGACTTCAAGTGATCTGGAGGGTGATCAAATGTCAAGGGAAAAAACGACCAAGCACACTTGGTAAGGACATTGCCGACGCTAGTACAAATCGAGATGAAACGGGATCAGGAGCGAACCAATGAAGGAGCGAACCAATGAAGGAGCGAACCAATGAAGGAGCGAACCAATGAAGAAGCGTTGCATAACAAACAGCCGGATCAGGCAAGGAAGAACTTCGCCAATTCTTTGATCAACGAGTTTCAGTTGCTACCTATACAGCCAACAACATTTTTAGCACTCACAGGTGGTTGTTCCAGTTATCAAGGTGCGCCGGTTCGTCTCCCCAAAAGCCGTTGTGACGTTCGTCGCTGTCACGCCCCAGAGGAGCGCCGCAATTGCCAGGGAAGAAAACAAGCGCACCAAGAGAAACAGCAAGACCATGAACAAGAAGAAGGGAGCGCCACAACTCTCCCCAAGAGCCGTTGTGACGTTCGTTGCCGTCACGCCCCAGAGGAGCGCCGCAACTGCCAGGGACGGCAGAAGACACACAACCACCAAGAGACACGGCGGAAGAATAACAACCACCAAGACACACGGCGGAAGAATAACAACCACCAAAACACACGGCGGAAGAATAACAACCACCAAAACACACGGCGGAAGAATAACAACCGCCAAGACACACGGCGGAAGAATAACAACCACCAAAACACACGGCGGAAGAATAACAACCGCCAAGACACACGGCGGAAGAATAACAGCCGCCAAGACACACGGCGGAAGAATAACAACCGCCAAAACACACGGCGGAAGAATAACAACCGCCAAGACACACGGCGGAAGAATAACAACCGCCAAGACACACGGCGGAAGAATAACAACCGCCAAGAGAAACAGGAAGTATAAGACCACGAACAGCAAGAATGGCAGAAATATGGGTGCAGTCTAGACAGGCCACTGGTCATGCCTCAGGGAGAGTGTAACAGGTTCGGAATTCACCACGCAGAGAGCGTGGGAATCTCCGAAAGGGAAATGGGGATGTTGCCTAGCTAGCTACGAACGGCGACACTTGCTAGCATAGAGCACTTCCTCTTATCCCCGTCACACTCTAGTATCCAGCGGGGCATGGCATCGAGGCGCTATGCCAAGATGCCATGCTCAAAGCGTAGCGACGCCGGCTTTCCTCTCGAACCGCGCTTATTCTTCCTAGCATAAATATCCCTTCCTAGTTCTTGTTGTATCATCCTTTGTCTAACGAAGAATCCTCTTCTTGATTCTACTCTCTTCTCTCTCCTCAACTCTCTCGTCGACTTCTCTGAAGTTGGGCTTCTCTCTTTGCCTAGCTTCCACTATTCCGCTGCTTGACGCGAGAGAAATAAAAGTGCCGTCAAGCAGCGGAATAGTGGAAGCTAGGCAAAGAAAGAAGCCCAACTTCAGAGAAGTCGACGAGAGAGTTGAGGAGAGAGAAGAGAGTAGAATCAAGAAGAGGATTCTTCGTTAGACAAAGGATGATACAACAAGAACTAGGAAGGGATATTTATTCTAGGAAGAATAAGCGCGGTTCGAGAGGAAAGCCGGCGTCGCTACGCTTTGAGCATGGCATCTTGGCATAGCGCCTCGATGCCATGCCCCGCTGGATACTAGAGTGTGACGGGGATAAGAGGAAGTGCTCTATGCTAGCAAGTGTCGCCGTTCGTAGCTAGCTAGGCAACATCCCCATTTCCCTTTCGGAGATTCCCACGCTCTCTGCGTGGTGAATTCCGAACCTGTTACATAATTCCCCTCCCCAAGAAGCATCGTCCCGATGCTTACCCATGCTAACTATCCACATGTCAACATCCAGAGCATTATCTACCAATACAAAAATTCCTAGAGATTCAAATCAGAAAGTATTTACAAGCTTTACTAGGTCTTCGTTCTTGGTCTTCACTCTTCCTCAAGGTTTAGCAGATTCAAGAAGAGACTCAAGAGGAGGAGGTCGGCATATAGCTGCAGCCCATACTACAGCTTTTGCGGTCACATGCAGCTTCTAACCATAGGGTGGAAGACTCCATAAGTCATTTCCGTGTGCACAATCTCAACTAAGCCCATGCTTTCACGCTATGGCGCTTCTCACTGTACACAACAACCCCTATTAAGCTGCCTCAATGCTGGTGCCTATAGCATGTCCAGCAATACCGTCAAATATGCCTAGGAGAGATTCAGAAAATGGAAACACTAGCCATCTAGTCAAGCACCTTGTGGATCCACAAAACATAAAGTGAAATAAGGTTACTTATGCTCTTTATATATTTCAGAGCAAAGGACTAGGCAGAGGCCTTGTGTTTCAAAGGGAAGAGAGGTGAGAAGTTATGCAAGAAGAAGGAATTCATAAGCATGCTCATAACTGCTCTTCATCTATGAGCAAATTATAGAGCAGAGAAAGAACACTCGTTACAAGGAGTTGAAGAAAGCAGCTTCCCAAGATTTGAAGCGAGGATTTCCATGGAAAACGAATTCAGAGTTGAAGACCAATTGGAAATGACCCATCAGAAAGATTAGGTCATGAATTTGAAATTTCGAGCGCCTTTTACCCAACTGCACCTCAATTCGAAGGGCTGCAGGAATTTCGGAGTAGTGTAGCAGCGGAGAATCACGGAAGCAGTGGGGGTAGCTCGAAATTCGCCCAAACTAAATCTCTGCCCGCAGGTTGGCTGAAATTCGCCGATGCAGGTTCAGGAACAGAGACACCAAGCAGATTCGACTTCAAAGGCTAGGAGCAGGCTGCAGGAAGTTCCTCGTCATCCGTGCAGGTCCTCGTTCTTGCTCCAAGGTTGGACACATCGAAGCTCAGAGAGCTGACAATAGAAGTCGAAGCGAAGAGTAGCTAGCTAAGTACGAGAGTAGAAGTCGAGTTGTAGCTAGCTTATGACGAGAGAAGAGGCTGAGGAACGATAGGCTCTGACACCAATGAAACAAGGCTACGGCGCTGCCGCACGGCGCGGCTGATCGGACCGGCCATGGCGACTAGGGAGAACGGCGCCGTAGCTAAGAGAAATAAAAGTGCCGTCAAGCAGCGGAATAGTGGAAGCTAGGCAAAGAGAGAAGCCCAATCTCAGAGAAGTCGCCGAGAGAGTTGAGGAGAGAGAAGAGAGTAGAATCAAGAAGAGGATTCTTCGTTAGACAAAGGATGATACAACAAGAACTAGGAAGGGATATTTATGCTAGGAAGAATAAGCGCGGTTCGAGAGGAAAGCCGGCGTCGCTACGCTTTGAGCATGGCATCTTGGCATAGCGCCTCGATGCCATGCCCCGCTGGATACTAGAGTGTGACGGGGATAAGAGGAAGTGCTCTATGCTAGCAAGTGTCGCCGTTCGTAGCTAGCTAGGCAACATCCCCATTTCCCTTTCGGAGATTCCCACGCTCTTTGCGTGGTGAATTCCGAACCTGTTACAGAGAGGCAATGAAGCATCAGAGTGCTTTGAGGCGGCTCAAAATTGAAAAGCGGGACATGATGGCGTTGGCAGAGACAGGCCATTGGTCACAGACATGATGCCCCCGGGAGGCGATGAAGAATGAGAGAGCCAACTCACGGAGAAGCAGAAGAAGCGCGTTTCTGGCCATGGGAGCAGCAGTATACCGAAGTCGTAACCCTGAGGGTGCTGGATGTAAGCCGGAGAGAGGTGTTTCAGAGAAGCTGGATATCTAATAGTACTAGGAGCTCGGGAGGAGAGATGCTTCTGTAAATGGCCGATGAACGGGTTTTATACTCACATGCTCACTTGCCTCTTCGTTTCTTAGGTGCCTCGTAACTCGTCTCCTAGGTCCCTGCCTCGGCTGATCCATCACAGCGCTTCGTGCCGCGATGTGATGGCCAGTCGAACCGCAAGGTAGGTGGGTGTGAGTTCGGTGCTCACGTGTATGGTGGGAGGGGGGTCAAAGTAACCCATTAGGGTTTCCGGACAGCACGATAAGATTACCAAGCGTAATAGCGGATAGCGAACAAGCTACGTTCAGACCACCACGAGACATGGGTTTTTCGGGGCTTCACTGCTTGTAGCGGAGTGGTGAGTGAGGATGACTCAGCCATACTTTGTCCTGCGCTTTGAGGATGACGAGTCAGCCATACGGTCGGCGAGTTTGAACAGAATAATCGGGTACGACTTATCTACTACACCTCAAACATCAAAACTCACATCTGCCACCTACAGGTGAAACATTTCTTCACACCTGCCCGTGGTACCCACTCATTTCAACAATGGCTGCCAAGCCAACGCAACGACATCATCGACTAAGGAGCGACACGAGCCCTGAACGCGCCTTTCTAACTCGCGTCGCATCAGCTTCGTTCGTATGGTTGGAGACACGGTTTGCAACTTTGCCGATTAGAGCCTTGAAGATTTGCCTCTGCACTTGATTCTCTTGCTAGCGCATCCCAAATATGCCTGATTCCGAAACTCAGGCCGTGGACCCTATCCCGAAACTCGACGTTATTATCTTTCCTAGGTACCAACGGTGTGAGGTGTGAGGTCATGACTGGCGTTCCACTCCTTGGTGGCAATTCTAAGAACTTCCACGTTTCGAGATTATGTCGTCGTACCAGCTAGAGAGAACGCGCCACAGTGTCTGGCGCCTGACAGGTGAAAAACGGCCAGAAAAAGGGGGAACGAATGCGGCGCAACAAGGGGGAACGAATGCGGCGCACTGCTCCTGCTTTGGCCACCAACGAAGCTCCCCCAGGCTGTATGACTCACAAGCAGCGCGACATGAGGCCTGACCTTCAAGCTTCGCGTCGGCGGGCGGACGAGCGGGCGGGCGGGCGGGCGGGTGGTGGCGGTGGAGTGAGGAGGGGTCGACAGGAACCCGCTGGAATAGTGCGTTGCGAAACCCGAATTTGGCGAAGCGACAGAAGTCGTATGTGTGAAAATTCTGGTTCAGACGCGATGTTCGCGAAACGACAGAAGTCGTAGTACAACTTCGCGACCATCGTCGGATCCTCCTCACCTCAGTTATCTGGCTCTGGTGTGGTGTAGTTTTTGAATTATATCTATGTTTTACAACAATATTGTGTATAGAAATTGGTTGTAATGTGTCCAGGCTTATCATCTTTAACGTGACGGATTTTGCAAGGGCATGGTTCTTGCATTGATTTAACCAATCTAGACGTACAGGGGGGAATACATGTTCAAATATCATATTCAAAAAACAAAATCCATACCTACTAATGCCAAAATATAATATGTGTTGTAGGCTGTAGTGAGGTGCCTTCTAGGGGGTACAGTTTCTAGGCTTGCATATTTGTACTCCATCCCTTTCTATTCTACACATTCCGTTGCTAGCTACTCTTAAGATGGTATCACGAGTAGGTTCGTTCTCGACCGTTCCTAG